TCTTGATCGTTTGTTTGTTATTGCGTAGATCTGTTTACACGTGATAAACAATGATAAATTAGCATTTTCTTACAACCGGTAATTTTTAAACCCAATCTGTCTATCCCTGAAATGGAAAGGATAAATGTACGCGTGAATAACTTATAACAAAAGATTTTGCGAACCAAATTATATCATTTTAAATTATATCATTTTTAGAAAGGAATGACTGTGGAAGATGCCAAGCGGATTTTGGACGAACAGGTATACAAGAATAATTCTATAAATTATTTGTATATTTTTACATATTATTTTACATATCATTGCTTATATGAAAGAAGACAACATATCTTCAAAAGATAAACACGGAAATTCAAGAATGTACTTCTGAAATCAACGATTTAAAGTTTGAATGCGAAAATATGGAAAAAGAAAATGATAAACTTTCTAAAGAGCGTGACCGCTACGAGTCACAGGCTGTTCAAGCTGTATCAAAGATGAATAATCGATCGTTACAAGAGACATGTAGATCGTATGTGTTATTTATATTTTCTATCGATTAATTACGATAATTATTGATAAATATTTGTTATATAAAATGTTTAGGTATCGCTCTTCTATAATACTTTATTGCAAGTTATTGGATATTGAACTTCCAGATCCAAAAGATCAGTTCAAAGATTGAATTTGCAAAATTCTTTATCTTTTTTTCTTTTTGGAGCTGTCACGTTTCGTCAATTGTATCTGTGATGAATTAATCCGATTTTATTTTAAATTAGTATCTCGATAAATGTCAATTGTCATTTCTGAATTTATTACAAATTACCTGTTTATCTCTTAAACTCAATCTTTTTTTACTGATCGCATTTTTCTTATGAACTACCATCATAAAAGCTTTATGTCTCGCCTTTTCTTTGTTGGTTGTGCTGGTACCTTCAACCTTTTTCCCTTTTTTGGGTCCACCGAACTTTCCTCGTCCTTCTCGCCCGGTTTTTATAGATTCTATACGTTCTTCATAATCTTGTTTGGCTTTTTTTCGTGGTCCAGTAATAAAATTGATATCAACTATATCTGAAGGTTCATCATTCTGTATTCTACTCGAAACAAACACGCATTCATTAAATTAGTCTTCGCATGTAATGTGTTAAATCATGATTACGATATACCGGTACTTCATACATACTCGTCACCTCTTTTGCGTTTACCTCCATCCATCAATTGACAAACTTTATGTTTCATTTTGAGCTCGTTCAGTTTAAAAAAATCTGCTGGCGTTAAAAGCTAATGTTTATTTTTTTTTTTTAGATATATTATGTAAAGCAAATTTTAGATATTATATAAAGCAATCAAAAGATAATGAAAAAGTTTATTCGTACTTGAGTAGTCGCCAAACTTGGAATCTTTTTATCTTCCGTAACCTCCTTTACGCATCCTTTATCACATTCTCTATCTTCTTTAGTTTCTTCCTTGCCATCTTCTTTGTTATCTTCATTATCTTCATTTTCATTTTCATCATCTCTATCATTTTCATTTTCATTATCCCCATTATCTTCATTTTCATTATCTCCATTATCTTCATTTTCATTACCCCCATTATCTTCATTTTCATCATCTATATTATCTTCATTTTCATCATATTCGTCTGAAACATCAATCCAATCATCATTTGATGAAGCATTTGATGCAACTTCCCACTCCGCCCATTCTATGTATTGTATATGTGTTGAATATAAAGCTGTGTACTTAAGAATAGAATTATAATTACGATATTACCATCTTCATCTCCCACAACTCCTTCTTGCATTTGTTGCTTCTTATACTCTTCTAATAATTCTATACCTTCAATTTGTTCAGTCATACGTATTTTACCGTACTGTAATGGATTGAAATTTTTCATATTCATGCTAGCAATTTTACCCTACAAAAGCAAAAAAAAAAAAAAAGAGGTTAATTCATTATAAATGCATATTTTCAATAAACAATGAAATGATATGAATATTATACCCGATCTTTTCTTTTCAACATTTCTGGATTAATTTCTCGAAATAATCCAATTAATGATTTTGCTGCCATCATGACTCCTTTATCTCTATCTGATTTGTACTCTGCTAGATCTTGCAATAAAGTGGAATCTATTGCTAAAGGTTGCCGCATACAAATCTCTCGTATCGCATTCAAACTATAAAAATTTTTGTTTCAAAAAAAAATTAAAACTTGATCAATTCGTTACATGAAATTAAACATACCTACCCCGCCGTCATAACTTCACTAGCACAATGATCCGATACAAAATTATTTGCGATGGTTTTAATAATAGGTTCCAACACATCGGGTGGTACCAATTCGTGACAAGACTGTGCAACTACTACAAGAACCATTGTTACATCGCGTTGATGCGGTTTAATATACTTTAATAAATACGTATAAAAGCTTAATAAAATAAGTTTATGTACTCCAATTATACGCGATATAAGATTCATTGTCATCAATTTGACTTCAAATCTATCATTATTTGACGATTTTTGAAGTGATGATAACAATTTTTCCGTGAATCCTAATAATATTGAATTTTTAATATGAAATATTTTATATATAATAGCAAATTATATTGCAAAATAGGTACCTTGAGGATCATTTAATAAATGTAATGTAGAAAAATTAAAGTTTTCTTTTTTATTTTTTTGTCTTTCTTTTTTTTTGACAATTGATATTGCCTTTTCTAATTTCCTTAATTTAGATTTTTTCGTTTTATTAACAAGATTTATATGTTGTAATCGTTTAATATCGGGAATATCTTGCTATTAAATATAAATTATTAATTTATATTTAGTATTTGATATTTTGCATATAACAAAAAAAAAAAAAAAAAAAAGATTTTTAAAAACTATACATAATCATCTTCGCTATCTTCATCCTGATTTTCGTTGTCCGATTCTAAAAAGAATTGAATCGCTGTGACCTTAATTTTTGTCACTGAATGAAAACACGCTTCAGATATAATATTAACGGTTTTTGAATCATTCCTATGCAAAAAAAATAAAATTAAAACAGATATATATATATATAATTATAATTAATAATCTAAATTTACATACAGTAATATTAAGAACTTACCATATTCCTTTTTTATATAAATCAATACAAGCATCCAAACTTTTTTTAGCTGCAATTACATTTGTACTGTCTGTTGTACTTTGTAAAATTGTGTACATAAAATTTTGTAAAGTTTTATTTAATTTATTATTTTTATGCTTGGCATTATTATTTTTTATATCAGAAATAATATGTGAATATAGTAAATCACGAAGTTGCTTATCTCGAACTCGGAAGAGTGTGTAGAATAAAGACAACACCCTTTATATATATAAATTAAGCTTTAGTTGTTTTTTTTTTTTCTTTTTTTGAAGAAATCATTTATTAAAAAAATTTTTTTTACGTGATACTTGGAATTATGTCTTTATTACGAAGTAGTATGAGACTTTGAACCATGGTTTTTCGTAAATTAGGATTTAAAATTTGATAATGTTCAGAAAGTAGGTTTATTAACTGTTGAGAAAATGTATTGGTTTCTTGTGGATAGCATTGTGCAACCTGCTTAAGTTTTTTCATTAAAAATGAAATATATCTTTATTAAAATTCGTTCTTAATGGAAACAAACCTGTGAAATAAAAGTAACCAAATTTCCAAATTCTTCTGCTTCTTCGTCTGGTTTGAGCTGAAGAATGGTTAATTGAGACTCATAATGTCTATATTGTTGCAAAAAATCCTCTTTATATGAAAGTGGATCACGTTTTATAAGGTTTTGTAATTGCGGAATATTATTTGGTAATAAAGTTGATCGTTCGCGTTTGCCCATTTCTGTAGAGAAGTTGAAAAAATATTTACATAGCATTCATTTATTTCAGTATAAAAAAAAAAAAAAAATTGTTACACGGCATCTAGATAAAATTTTACGTTCATATGAAAATTGTGTTTGATAATTCTTATCGATATTACTTTTAGAAATTGCATCTATATTCAATGGTAAATTTTATATAATCAATTTACAATCAATTTTACATCGTTTTAGCACGTTATACACAATAGAGGACAATTAAATTTAACATTCATAGTTCAAGTGACGACAAATCTCAAATTACTAATGAACAAGACACAGATCCTAGTAGGGGATGGTATTATTGTGGGTAAGCATTACTATTAATTAAAGTGATTATTATAATTAAATGGTAACAATATGTATTATGCGAATAGCAGATTTTAAATTTTAGCTAATCAGAGCAAATACTATGAAAAAAAATTAGTAGTTGTAGCTCTAGATTTTATTCATCGAAATAATAACTCACTTGATTAGTTTATTTGAATTTTGACTAGTTAAAATTTTACTTCAGATCTGAGTGATGACTATTTTTTATTTTTATTACAATGAACTCACATGATTAGTTAAATTATTTTCTACTAATTAAAAGTTAGTTTCTGATCTATTGATTTAGGTATTTGAAAACACCTCAGAATACTCTATAGGAAAATTTGCAATCTAAAAGATAAACACAAAGCATAATTAGTTTTTTTAGATAATTAGATTGTTTTAAATTCTTATTTTGTAATCTATTAATAAATAGTATTTAAAAACAGTCTAAACTAGTTCTATTATATGTTTAATTTAGTTACAATATAAAGTATAAAATAATATATAGAAGTAATATACAAATTATTTGAACAAGCTATAATTTCTTTAGTGATCTTTATATTTGTAATCTGATTTTTGATAAAATTCTACTACGTATTTTATAGTAATTACCAAAAAAAATTATAGCTAATATAATATATCTAGTTGCAAATAAGCTTTTAATTAGTATAAATTTGTAACATTATAGATATATATATATACAGTTACTGGCAAAAGTAATATTTGATTTTTTAGATTAAATAAAGATCAAAATTAAATATTACTTTTGTCAGTAACTATATATATAGATAGATATAGGATTAAGGTTGTAAATACAACTTAAAGCTATATAGAATTTTAAAAATATAAGAGCATTAATATCTTATTTAAAATCCTAGTAGTTTTTTTTTTTTTTTTTTTTTTTTTTTTTTTTTTTACTTTATACAAATACCATTGGCTAAACTTTATTAATT